AAATCTCCTGCCTCTGGGAGGCACCATTGTCACATGCTACCCATGGACTGTGGCCTCCAGGTCTTGAGCTCTCACCCCAGCTGGGTCACGGCCTGTCTCTGCCCCCTCATCCATGCGAATGAATGATCTGAACCTGGTCCCCTTAACTCCAAAAGTCCAGCCTCGGTGAGATTCCCACGAGCATCTGCCATCCGAGAAGTGCTCCCTAAAAAGCCGTTATTATCTGCTTGGCTTGCTCCTCTGGGCGTGGAGGTGTAAGTTTAATGATGGGGGGTGGGAGGTGGACGCGGGCGCCTGGTCGGCTGCGATCTCGCTGGCTGGTGGAGCGGGCCGAGCCGGTGTCAGCGCGCATTTATTGATGGCAGGTATTTGGGGAGTAATTGAGCGCGGCGGCCGGCCCGGGGCGAGAGTGGGCCTCCACGAGCAATTAAATGTGATTAGGCCGAGACCTTCGGGGTCCAGCTGGGTGATTGATAACCCGGCTGCATTCCTGCAGGGCCCGCGACATCAAACGGGCGGCCGGCGGCGGGCGGGGCGGAAGGGGCGCGCAGGGCCGCTGTCCTTCCAGCTCGCGACGCCCACCGGTTCCATGGGGGAAAGCCAGGGACGTGCCCCCTTCAGGCGCCAAGGTCTCTCGTCGCTCGCTTGCCAGGTGCAGCGGGGAGGGGAGGTCGCGGCGACGAGCCCGCGCTGAGCGCCCGGGTCTGCTCCGGCCAGGCCAGCGATCCGCGGCGAAATCGCTGCAACCGGGAAAGGACGAGTGGAAGAAAACAAGAAGCGGGGACCCAGAGGGTGGAGGGAGAGAAAATTAGAAATGGGAAAAGATCGAGAGGCGCAAGGACTAGCGAAGGGACCAAGGACGAGCGAAGGGACCGGCGAAGAACGGAGGGAGATGGGAGCACGGGGAGGGTCGCAGCCGAGAGCCAGGCGGAGTGGAAAACGACCAAAGGCGGGGAAAGGGTAATAAAGGAGGCACACAGGGGCGGGGGACAAAGATGAGAAAGGGACATGGGCGACAAAGAATGAGGAAAATGGAGGGGAAGGACGGAGAAGGAACGCAAAGGCAGCGAAGAAGCCGGCCGGATCCCTCCGTGGCTCCCCCACCCAACCCACAAGCAGCCTGCCTCAGGCAGCCCCAAACGCAACGCCCAGAGCCAAGCGCCCCTGGTGTCCCGGGGAGCAGACATTTGCCCTGAGAGCCTGGCTGGGGCCAACCCAAACACCACCAGCTCCCTACCCCTTTAGGCTGGGTGAGGGGCGACTCCCTGCACCCCAAGTCTGGGCCCCACAAGTCATAAATCACAAGTGGAGGTGCTGGGGGTTCCCGGGCGGTTGCCTCGGGATCTTGGAGTCTCTGGAGCCAGGGAACACAGTTTCTGTCTGTGCTGACTCCACAGACAGGATCAAAACAGCATGAAAGAAATCAGAGAGAACGTGGTCGGCAGGAGCTGGACTTCTAAAACCCCCTTCCGCCCCCATAGGCTTCAATATTAAAAAACCCCCTAGGAGCCTCAGACACTGTATTAATTAGTGCAACCACCCATGAAAAGTTGGGTTTGGAGCGGCATTCTTTGCCCTGTGTGAAAAACCAAGTCTAATAAACAATTGTTAAGTTGGCCTGTTGCCGCTGGTAAATTACATAGCATTAAAAAAATAATGCTTTTCATATTAGGCACTAATTAAAGGTTGGGACAGCTTTAAAACAAGAGAGGGAGGGGGGAAATCAAAGAAAATATAAAAATGTTCTTTCAAGAGTTATGGGAGGTTAATAAAGTATGTCTGTTAGACTGAGCCTACTTTGCCCCTAGCTACAGCCAAACTGGAGCCACCACAATTGGGTCTCAATAAGATAATGATATTCCTTTCTCTGCTATTAAAAGCCTCCCAGTGCAAACTTAAAATGATTTATTTAATTTAGGAAATTATGAGGTGTAACTTCAAAGCCCGAGCCGTTAGTAATGGAAAATACCAGGTTGTTTAAAATTATAATAATAATTGTTTGGAGGACTGGGACATCAAAGTGTTTTCATCCACAAATGCAAAGAGGTCCGGAGGAGGTTGGAAAGAGTCAGAGGAGGTGGATGAAGTTTGGATTTGATTATTAGGAACCTTATCAGGGCAAGATTCAGGATTCCCGTAGCCTGGTCCTCTGCTCTGCTTTGAAGCGGGTTATTTTGAAAGTAATTTTACTGCTTTTTATTTAGTTCCTAGGAGGGAGGAGGTGAGACGGTGGCAGGGGTGGAAGAGGGGACAGAGGAGTTGACAGGAGGCTCTCTCCCTCCTCGCTGTGACTACTTTATTTCATTAAGAGGCCTGGGGCATCACCAATCCCAGCATTTATTTATTTTTTTCCTTACATGGAAGGGGGCAAACGGCACAACTGACTTCACCAACCAGGCCATGTGATTTTGGGGAGGGGGGTGTGTTTGTGACGTGGGTTCTTTTATAAATGAGGTTTATGCTTATTTCAAACCCAGCAGTGGAAAGGGAATGGGGGTGGGGGAATGGCCTCTCCAACCCGTGGCAAATGAGAGGCTTTTATAGCGAAGAATGGCCGTGGGAGTTTTCATTCGGTCAGACAAGGTTCTGCTCAAAGGCAGGGATCCTCTTTTCAGTCGGGTCAGGCAGACGCTCCGCCAGCGCCATTCTCAGCCAGGCCCTCGCCTACCTCCTGCGGCCCTGCCCCCGCACCGCCCAGGCGCGGCCTGCCAGGAGGGGTGGGGGAGGGCTCAGCCCCAGGTCCCACGTGGTGGACAAGCTGGGACCCTGGCAGAAGCCCCTCACAGCAATGAGGGATGTGGACCAGAGGACACTCCAAGCCTGGGCTCTCCAGATCCCTGCGTCATTTCTGAGATGCCTGCCTTGCCAACTCTGGTACCCACACTGCTCCGCTCACCCTTCCGCCTAGATTCCCTTGCCGCCAGCCAGACTTGTGACCTCAGTGAGCCACCTCCCAGAGCCTCAGTTTCCTCGACTTTAAAATAACAACTGTAAACCTCTCCAAAAGGGGTGCACCGATTACATGAGAGTACCTGTGCCAAAATGCCTAGTTCCTCACTTAGCAGGGGCTCTGGAAGGCGCTGTCCCCTGCTTTCTTTCCCGCTTTAAAAAAGAAGAGTGTTTTCTTTGGAAAGTTTTGGAAGAAAGCGTTTAAAGTGTGGAAGGGCAGGTGCATTTACGTGCCAGGCTCCTGGCAGTCACTTGAGAATGTCCAAAGATCTCACGCTGGCCTCTTCAGCGTTCACTTCCAATGCTGGTCTGCAAGGGGCTTGGCTGAGTGTGGGTCTTTCGAGAGGCGCTGGTTGTCAATCTGGCCTCTAAAACGCCAGCACCAAGCCTGAGGCCAGGGAAACTTGGTGACGCGGAACTCCACGCGGGACAGAAGGGTGGAAAGGGGCCGCAGAGCAAGGCGCGTGGTCCTGATGGGCGGACCATGGGCCTGGTCCTGGACGCTGTAACCCATCGACCTAGGAGCGCTGAAGTGCTTCTTGTGTAACCTGTTTCCACAACCCATCTCCGAGCCCCAGTTTTCTTTTAATCTGAGGCGATGGGCGCGGTGCGGGGTGCCCAGGTACCAGATTGATTCGCCTACCCCGCTGGTCATGCAAAAAGCAGCCCTGATTCTCCGAATAGGACAGGGGATCACGGACCTCTCCAAGGGGCAAGCTGAGCCTTCCCCGGAGCTGGCCTCTCCGGATCCCCCTCCCGGGGAACATCGCCCCGGGCTGCAGGTCCCACCGGCGCCGGGAAGGAAGTTCCGAGGACAGGCTAATTAGGGACCCAACTCGGCGGCTGATGACGAAACCGGGAAGGATTTTAGCTTTGGGAAAATGCAAATGAAAATGGTTATATTCTGATCTGGGACTCGGACGTGGGCCCTTAGAGGCCCAGAGGGAGGCAGAGGAACAAGTTTGGGTGGGTTGGGGGCGCTTCCGCAGCTCAGCTCCAAGTGGAGCGAGCCAACCGGAGGAAATCGAAATCGGCCTCGAATTTCCAGCAGACCCCTCGGTTGGGCTCAGGTTTCGCGCTGCAGCTGAGAAACCCCTGAGACTAGTGGCCCGACTCCTAAAAGTCCCTACCCCATCGAATATAGGGGCTTCCGGCGCCCACTTCGAAAGGGGGGTCCAGCACGACCGAAATTGGGGAGGAGAGTGCCGATCCTAGTCGATGCTGGGTGCGTCTCCCCACCGTGCTGACTGGCAACACAAAGTTCTCGCTGGGCTTCTGTCTCTGCCCCCAAGGTCTCTGAAGCCCTCGGAGAGGTATCTTCAGCAGCCACTTTTGATTTATTTGTGCAACAGAAAACTGAGTTTAAGATCCTTCCCAGTCTCCCCCCACCTATCACCATTTAGTTTTAATGGGGATCCCTCAAAATCCAAGACTGGTGCTGCTGTGCTGCATCGGTTTCCACAGGGATCCGGATGCTGGAACAGGAAGGAACCACCTTCACCCTTCAAAGAGAAATAGCATTTGTTTGGGGGTCCCTCTCCTTGGGTAAGATAGAAAGGACAAATAGAATGCGACCTGACACCCTCCTGAAGGCAGCCAGGTGCCTCCCTCCAACCCAAAGATGCACCTAGTTCCTTTCCAGAGAAAAGCTATAGGTCCCTTTCTTTCAACTTTTTGTGGTCAATTGTTTTGGTAGCTCCAAGATTTCAAGTTCAAGATTTTCCCTGGATCACCTGTAAACTACTCAGATTCTGACCTCTGCTGCACCCTTTCTTTTTAAGATCATTTTCACTGTAGTCTGAAAACATACTAAACAGCAATTCCTCCTTTTCCATGAATAACACAAGCTGCAGAGGAAACATTTCAAAGCATCTCAATGTTTTCAACTGACTCCTCCCCTCATGCTGCTACAACACCGGATTGATTCAAATTAAACAATAATTAAAAGTACCAGCCCCCCTCCCTCATGGGTAGCATTTTTGAGCTAAGCCCAGCTAAGAATAAATAGCTCCTTTTTAAATAATTGTGAATTAGGACAAATTTTACTGCAATAAAACAAACATTTAATTTAATTCAGAATACGAGATAAGAAATAACTCTTCAATAAAATATATAAAATTGTACAATGTACCCTTTCAAAGGGATGAACGTGTACTGGGGGAGGGAGATGGACACAAAGGTGACACACCAGGGCGCTAATTGGCCTGTTTGACAACACCATTTTTAGCAAGCTAAAGGGTGGCTTTACCCTCTGCTCCCAACATGTTAAAAAGTATGTAAATTTTTCCTAATAAGTTTAGCACATACAATAGGTACACACACAGAGAAAGCATGATTTTCTTTTCCCTTCCTGGTTCTACTAACTGTTCAAGAATATTTAGCATAGGTAATGGTTACAGGATACTTGCTTTTTTAAGCAGAAAATTACTACACTTTTATGCTCCCCCCCCCAAAAAAAATCATCTTTGCAAAGTGTGAGTTGATGTACCTAGTATTCCATAGAAATCAATTTCTTCTGATATGCTTTATTTTTTTGCTCTCTGATGACCCGAAATGGAGTTAAAGAGCACAGCACTGAGAGAAGTTAGGCAGTATTTCTATTTTCTACCTTGCCCTGGGGTGGTCTCAGGATTACTCTCATCCCCCTCTTTTCAAGCTTAGGAAAAAGAATGATAAAGCCAACAATATGCAGCAGGGAAACAGAGTCCAATCTGGTAGCACCTCACAAGCTTCTTCTTATGCACATAAAATGCAAACCTGTTATATTATCTCCTGAATTCGCCAGAAGCTTCCCATTACCTACTTCCTATATGCATCCTGTCTAATTCTAGTATTTGATTTCCATAAGCAGAAGTCAACTCAGCCTATCAAAACTACCAAATTTGCGCCAATTTGCAAATAACCTGTCTCCCCCCTTTAAGAAAATAACAAATAGACTTATAGTCTCTTTAAGGTGATATATAGAAAAATGCATATGTATATAAATTTTGCCTTTCAAAATAATTTGAATTTTTACTTTTGCTGTATAAAAATGTCTTATATTTTATTATATATATATATTTATACATAGAAACTGCCAGAGCCAATTTTCGTGAAAGGAGAAGGGGGCATTTAGGATATGACACCGTGTAAACAGGACGTTGGTGCCTCCCACCTAAAGAAGAAATTCAAACTATGACTTGGGGCCCTGTGGGCTTCTTCAGATGGTGCCTGAAATTTCCGCTGCAGGAGGACTGGGTTGGTCGCCTTCTTTGAGAGAGGGGAACCCTTTTAAACGAATATCCGTCCTGGAGTCTCTGGATCCGGTCTTAAGGCTTTAGGATAGATGGTACATGCCGTATCCCACTGGCGTGGCATAGAGTCCGACGGGCGGGATGGGAAGCACAGGTCTATGGAAAGGGTAGGAGGCTCCGTACAGGGACGCTGCTTGCAGGGGCGAGTTGATGGGAAAAGGGAGACTGAAGCCGGAGGGCAGCATAGGTTTAGCTGCCATCTTCAGCTTTTCCAGTTCTGCCTCCTGCAGTCTTTTGGCCTTGGCCCTTCGGTTCTGGAACCAGATTTTGACCTGGGTCTCTGTGAGGTTCAGAGAGCTAGAGAACTCCGCGCGCTCCGCGATGGAGAGGTACTGTTTCTGGCGGAACTTGCGCTCCAGCGCAAGGAGCTGGGACGTGGTGAAGGGCGTGCGAGGCTTCCGATTGGTCTTGTGTTTCCTCAGGGTGCAGGTGGTGGGGCTCATGTGTCCTAGAGGACAGAGAGGGTACTGGATTAGCAAATGCGTCTTCTCTCCAAGTCGGCCAGCAGGCCTAACAGAAAACCCTGTGCTCGCCCTGACTGTCTCTCCCACACACCCACTGTTTGAGCTATCGGAAAAAAGGTACTTCTGTCAAAACCATGTGGGTTTCTTTTCCGGGGGGGGGGGGGGGGAGGGGAGAGACAGATAGGGAAGGACAGAATTTCAAGTTGATAAGTTGCATTATTATTATTATTATTATTATTATTATTATTATTATTATTATTATTTTGGTGCTGGGGATTGAACCCAGGGCCTTGTGAATGGGAGGCAAGCACTCTACAAATTGAGCTGTATCTCCAGCCCCTTTAACATTATTTTTAAAAATCAGTTGGGGAATTGAATGATGTTGTGGAACTTCCTGTTTGGAAAACAAATAGCACTGAGGCTAATGGAAATAGAACTCACAGAAACAGAGAGCTCTCCTAAGTCAAGGGAGCTGACTTCTGAGAAATAAAACTTTCTGAGTTTAATTTCTCTGTCTTTAAAATGGATTGGGGGGGGGGCTGAGTTTATGTTTATCCTAAACTCCCATGAATAGTAAATACTTGAAAGGGGCCCCAGACACTGGGTTAGCCCTTCCCTGGTCCCCTCTGACCCAGGAACATTGGACTGCATCAGCATATTCCGGAGGATAATCACACAGATAAGGTCTGTGGTCAATTAATAGGATCTGTGGATGTGGGGGCAGCCTCATGCCATAAGCAACCGCAGGCTGTCATTCCATCCAGTCTTCAGATTATAAAACCCGAACATGAACATCATTTTACAGATCTGGAAGTGGGATAAGTTTCTTGGCTGGGTGCTTCAGTAATATAAACTTTACTAAGAGGAGAAAATTAGCTCACCCATAAATGTACATGTCTGGGGAAATCACACTGCCTCCGAATTGAGAGCACATGATGACATCTTAGTCATCCCTACCCGTTCCATGGTTTAAGGGAAATGTGTAAATGATTAGTTTGTCACCAGAGTTTAAAAGTGGAGAATAACAAGCAAAATAAAGGTATGGCAACAGCATCCAGACTCGACTCTTAAACTGGATTCAATTATAGGAAGTCTCAGGCTGGCACTTCCTAGGATGCTAGGACACCTACTAACTTGAGGCTTATTTTCCTCAAGGGCAGGGGGAGGAGCACACAGCTTAAGGAACAGAATGCTAAACAATTAATTTTCTGCACTTGGCTTTTATGAGCTATGCTAATTTTCTAAATGTAGCCAAAGTAGCAACTCCAGTGTACTCCAGGGAGAATGTCGCATTTCTAGTTTAGTTACTTTGGTGGCCCATGAAAGAGTTGACACTTCATACTTGAGAGTGACACAGCACAAGTCCCAACCCGGCCTCCATTTTCAACAAGAGATGGATCTGTCCTAGTGTCACAGGATTAACCATCAGTTTACTGGTGATGGTGGTGGTGGTGGGGGGGGGGGACGTAGAAAGTTCTGTAACCAAAGAACAGACATCCAGGAGAAGGATGAAATATTCATAAAAGTTTATAGATGTTTGCATATGCTAATCCCTGAATAAGCCAGAGAATGAGGTGTGGAGCCTTCTGAATTTACACATTAAATACACTTCTGTCAAGACTCTCAGGAGACAGACAAAATTCCCTACCCAAACTTAGCTGGGCTCTCAGGAGGACCCAGTGTCTGAGTGGTTCAGAGGACAAATTCAGTGCACCCAGTTGCTCTGGGCTGAACACAGGGGTTTTGAGCCATCTGAATGCCTGGGAGGGGTCACTCCAGCTGCTGTGTGGGCTGCATTTAATTGTGAAATCCGGTAATGGGGATGGCACATGTGTATCAAAACCATAAGGTTCTGAGGCTCCCTCTCCAAGCACCACTCCCCCCTTCTCCCGCCCCATTTTAAACCAGCCAGAGGAAAGATACGATTATACCAGGCAAAACAGCATTTATCCTACTTCCCCCAAATAACAAAACCAGGCCCAGGAGGGCGGCTCCCTTCTGCTCCAGGCGCTCCCTGGCCCACCCTGGTCCAACCAGGCACAGGTTTAAATTTGAAATCTTTTCTGAGACCCTCCAGCTCCTCCGGTGGAAAGGTCATTCTCTGGACTACAGGTCGCCTTTTTGGGGCCAGGAAACAGCGCCTTGGGGCAAGTGGGGAACTGCCCTCCCAAGCCCTCAAGGGGCAAGGATGCTGAGATTTCTGACATCTGAGTAGCATTCCAATTAAGGCCAGAATCTCTAAGATGCTGCAGGCCTTGCCCCAGGCCCAGGAATACAGTTACTCAAAATTTGTTAAGCACATTAAGTCTCTGAGTGTTTTTGAGCCTCGGGTTTCACTGTCAATAAAATAGGCAAATAATATCATCCTCGGGGTCTTTTGGAGTGTCAAAAGGTAGAGTGCCCAAGCCCCACCTGCCACTCAGTAGGTGATCACTAAGTGTCCCCAGGCTTTTTCAGTCAGGCCCCAATTGCTGATCTTCTGAACTTTGTTGAAACGTTCTCATCTGTTAACAAGAGGCCCACCGCAGCCTTACAAAGGAGATCAGATAAGATACTACAGCAAAAATTGCTGTGCAACTGCAGTTTAAATTCTTTGGGTCCTTAATCTCCATGCCCTTTGAGTCTTTCAGAATTTCAACAGAGTGGAGAGAGACTGCCAGAGGGGACAGTCACTGACGCCGGCAATATTACAGCCTAGTCTTGTTCAGAAAATACTGTGCGTCTCCTGTCTGGATGGCTGAACCATGGAAATGGAGAAGGTCCCTCCACAGACCCCACTCTCTATCGCTTTCCCAGAAGGTAGGGTAGAGGTGTGGTGAGAGGAAATAGAGAAATCCTAAAGCCAAGGGAGAGAACTAAAAGAATCTGAAGAGAATGACTTTAAATTGCAGAGACTCCACAGCCCCCAAACACACTAAGTCTGGAAGAGAAAGTATTCCAGCCTCGCTGGAAGTGTAGGTGGGAGCAGACCTGGTCTTTGGGGAGAGGGATTAAAGGTAACCTAGGTACCACATAGAGGAGCAGGGTTTGGATACCAGATCCCCATGCTCAATTCGGGAGGTTGTTGGTGATCCGGGACGAGAAGGATCTCTTAAAGCTTCCATGTGCACATTTGGAAAAGGGGGTAGCTACAGGCTGCTAGCTTCTACCTACACTTTGGGGTTCTAGGTAGGATCCAGATAGGGTGAGGTAAGCAGCATCTTTGATCTACTCACAAGCTCTGCTGGAATGCTGTTAATTACTACTGTGAGTCCAGCGAAGCCCTCCAGTTTCTTGGCCCCAGCCCGCTCCCATCGAAGTGCAGAACTTCGACAAGGAGGCTCTGACTTGGGCGACCACAGGGACACCTTTCCTTTCCCCATCAGTGTCTCCATCATCCTTTCGTGGGATGTGGCTTGGATACCCGCAAGTCTCACGAAAGACGATTTTCACTCAATATCTGCTTAGACTCCAGTTGACTCATTTTAAAATGGGGGCGCACCTCACAGGACTGTACGTTTTGAAAGGAGATAAGACAACTCTGTCTGACACATACCAAAGTGTTGATTCAACGTGGAACCCCCTCACTCCCCAGGCAGAGAGACTGGGGATAGTGGGACAAAGATATGCTAAGTGGGCTGGCCGGGGCGCGGGGGCTGCAAAACCCGACGACAAGGTGACCTCGCAAACCCAGCTGGGGTTCACTCTCCAAAGATGAACCAGTGGGCTCTCAAGTGGAACAATGTACAGGGAGGAGAGCCCAGACACGCACAGCTCGAGATTACGAAGTGTCTAGGATGCGGTTGGCATGCTGAACTCCCCTGTGCAAGGACCGGGGGTGGGGGGGGGATTTCTGTGCTTGCTTTCTGGACGCACAATGCATGCAGAGGGGTCTCCTTGCCCTTGGCCTGAAATTCCTGTCCCCAGTCCCCTCCAGCATCCCACGCACCCGCCTTCCCCCAGTTCCAACCCCGGCGCGCACTCACTTGGTGGCGGCGAGTATCTGCCGGGTTCCTGCATCCACGACCCTCCGTCTTCCGAATTTTCCGACTTGACTGAGGCGGTCTCGAAAGGCTTGACCAAAGGCCCGGGACTGTGCGCTTCCCGGGAGCCATGTCCCGGCAGCAGCAGCGGCCGCAGGGTGGCCCCCGCCGAGGCGCTTTCGGCCGGCAGCGGGGACGCCTCCTTGGGCGGCTTCTTGTCCGACATGAGCGCCTCCACGCTGAAGGGCAGGCTGGAGACCTTGACGCGACGCTCCTCGGCGCCCCCCTCGGCGCTCCCAGGCCCCGGGCCCGGCCCGGCCACCATGGCCGGGCCCTCCTCATCGGACGAGAACAAGTCGTTGCCTTTGGACGGAGAAGCCATGACTTCCCTGCCCTACGTAGATCCCGGCGCGCAACTCCGCTGGCAGCCCCGCGGCAGCTACTCAAACTTTTTGCGGGGAAGACGGGAGGGGCGCTGGGAGCCGAGCTGGGCTCCAAGGGGAAGTGGGAGACGCGGCTCAGCCAATCCGCGCCCGCCCTGCCGCTGACGCCACGGGCGCTCGCCTCCGATTGGCTCTTCCCGAAGAGGCTGGGTCCTTTTTTTTTTTTTTTCCTGTTTGAAATAAATTAGGAGTTAATTACAGGAGCAGTCAGCAGAGTTGTTATTAGGCTATCCCTTAAGGGTTATAATCACGCCAAATCTGAAAAGTCCAAGACGTAATTAAGGCCGATTATTTAAAGAGGAAGTTCGCCCAGTCCCTATTTCTTCTCTCTTTTGACCCCTCTTCAGTGCACATCCCACTCCCTCCCCCCGACCCCCACACAGCTGAACACTCCAAAAATCGGCAACTGACATTTATGAAGTTCCCACTGTGCGTCAAAACTGGTCTAAGTTTACAACTCTGGCAGTCAATCCAGAAACGCATGAGGCCGTATCCCTGCTAAAGAAAATAATACAGCCATAGCGCTTAGAAGGATCTCGTCATTAGCTATTATTATAACTATTATTATAACTCATTCCTCTAGAAAAAAGGGTCGGAGGGACCCCGGAGGAGGGTCAGAAATCGCTCTCTCCTAAATCATTCATAATGGAGAATTTAAACCAGTAGTATTTATCTTTTCCACTTACACAAAAATCAGGGTACTTTTAGAAAGTGTAAGTTCGTGTTTTCTTGGCCCCTGAATTTCCTCTCTGGGAGAGATCCGGGTCCGATCTTTTTTCTCAAGACTGAGTGCAAACGTGTGTTCGTGAGTTTATTTGAATCTGTGTTTGTAGTGTGTGTTTAGGTGCTGGTGTTTGCCTTGGAGGGTGGAGAGGAGGGAGGAAAAGCCACCGATAATATTTAGTGTCTTCCCTCCCCCCGGCAAATCTCAGAGATACCAGGTTCCACTTTGCACACTCCAGGCCTGGGTGCATTTTGGGGAAGCAAATTTCTATTCATTGCATCTGACATTTTTTTTTTTTTAAGCATAAGTGTCCCTACCCCATCCCAAGGTACACCCTCAGTGACTGCCTCCCAGAGCCTCAGTGGTGGCCATCTCAGAGCCGGGAAGAGGAGTGTGAGTTTTGACAGAGGAAGAGGCCTCGCATCTCCCCGCTGTTCTGAAGGCCGCCGGGCGGAAAATATCGATTCTAAACAGTCTTCGCAGGGTGCAGTTACTCTTTCCTAAGCTGAACGATTTTCCTGAGAGTGTCGAGGTAAACAGGAGGTGGCCTGCTCAGGACCTCTCACACGGCAGATTCTTCCTAAACAGTTCCTAGAGCGTCGGAAGGAAGCGAAGTGTTTTAAAATTATTTAAATGATCAAGGCTTGGAGGCTATCTCCCAGCTCAAGAGTCTTAGAAACTTGACCTCCAGAGCTAAAGATCCTTAAACTCTTTCCTCAGTACCTCGCAGATGCAATGTTTCCTTCGTTTCCTTCATCGCAGACCTTCCCCTGGAGCCAAACTGCGCTGATCTGGGTTAACCCGAAAAAAGCATTATCTGAATCTTTAGGATAAACAGTTTTCACTGACCAGTTAATTCTGTTTGGTCCTGAAAAAGTTAGAAAGTAAACAAGTTCTAAACACTGTGTTATGAAAATCTCTGGATCGATCTCCCATCACAAAAAAAAAAAAAAAAAAGACAGGCATTTTTTTAAATGTTTACAAACTGAAAGCTCACAGAAAGTTAAAAAAAAAAAAAAAACTATGAAAGCTATCTTGAGATGTATGCATTTTTCCCCTTGAGTCATACCTGATGATGGTTGGCTAGATATGCATCTCAAATACAATACAGGTAAATCCAGATTAAGTTCTGTGCCTTCTAGATGCATGTGGCAAGGTGCGGGCTATATATTTTGGAAGCAAATCTGAAATTCGTTTAGCCCTCAGCTACCAAAGTGTACAAAAGTGTTCAACTTTCAGTTGGGCTGAACCCAGCCAATGTTTTATCATTGTTCTTGAAAACACATCATTAGTATTTGTCAGCTTAAGTGCAGACAGGCTTATTCCTGGGAAGTTAGGGGGAAAAGAGAGAATTACATTGGAGCACCTTTATTTTAATAAACTAATCTGGGAAAGGAAAAGTCAGGTTTCCCCCTCACTCCTCTGGGGTCCTGATATCCAGGTGGAAAACAAAAATTCTAAAGTCAGAAATAGGAGAACAGTACAGATAAAAAGAGTAACTGCTGTTGAAAACCAGAGTGCTAAATTGTGGCCACAAATAGGAGAGATGGCCAGAGAGGCAGCCATGGCTCCCCGATGCTCCAGGTGGCCCCCTAACTCTCAGCTGGGGCGAGACAATTTGGGAAAGGGTCTTGCTTCTTCCGGGAGAAGGCTGGTATCTCCACCCAAATCTAGCCCTTTATGGAAAGCCCCACCTGTGCCTGTGCTCCCAGGCTGACTGCCCCTCAACATCTTATTTACCTCTTCCAGGGCGCGTGACCTTGGGCACGCTACTTTGCCTCCCTCAGCCAACTTTTTTTTTTTTTTAAATTCTCTTAGATGAGAGATAATCATACCTACCTGGGATGGCTCTTGTGGTAATTAAATTCAATAGACTATATAAAGTAACTAGGAGGTGTAGGGGATCGATTTTAAAAGAGCATTATTGCATTACTGTATATAAAAAGCATTAATGATTTATCGAACGCTTTCTCTCCAGATATCCCAAAATAAGATGTATCAACTGCCTTCACAACCTTAAGGTGGGTTCTTTGTAAAACCTCCAGGGCTGAGAATTGAGCCTCTCAGCGGAGGCTGGCCTTGACACTTAGGAGGGACTCAGTACATGCTGGTTTCCGGGGAGGTTTCCATAGCTTTTCTGAAAGCAGAAAAGCGGGAGGTCCCATCAGAACTCAGCTACCCCGGAGCGTCAACTCTGCCGGATGCTTAAGTACCTAGATCGGCCTAGGATCTCATTTCTTGCTTCCAACACACCCCTAAGGGCCGGGGTCGTCCCCACCGACCCCCCTCCCCACACACATTTTACAGATGAAAAGCCTTGGACTAGGAAGTGCTAAGAGCCCCGCCCGGGGTCACCCAGGTAGGAGGTGGGAGACCCGCTAATCCCCCGGGGCCTCGGCGCGCGGATTTTCCGACCCCCACCTTCCCTCGCTCCGCGGGGCGTTTCGCACCGACCAGGCTCGTTGGCGGAGCAGCCGCGCACGCGCGCTCCGAGTCACAGTGGGAAGACCCTCCTTGCAAATCGTGGAGCGCGGCGCGTAGACGGCAGCGCAAGTAACCCCGAGGACTGGTCGCTGGATCCCCGAGGCTAGGAGGAGGGGGAGGGGCAGCGAAGGGGCTGTAGACGGGCCAGGGCTGCGGGCAGGCGCCAGGCGCGGGGAGATGAAAGGCGGGCTCCGGGGGAAGGGGCTGCGCCGGGTGACCGGCTCCAGCCGCGCCGGGCGCCCCGCCCCCGCTGCCCCGGGCAGAGGCGGCTGCCCGCGCCGGAGCCGCGTTAATTGCTCTCGGCCCCGGCACTCAGCCGGCGCGGAGCCGGGACAACCTCACTCCAGGAGGAATGACAATTCGCCCTAATGGGACAACCTCGCTCCCAGAGGAGTGACAATTCCTTCTAATGGGCCGCTTGTTAGCGGCCTATTCTCCCGAACCCGGGTATCAGAAGCGGGCAGACAAGCGGGCGCCAACGTCCGCCAGGAATTCCACAACACGGCTCTCCACCCCCCCAGACATTCGCTGTGTGACCTCAGGCAAAAGGCTACTCCTCTCTGAGCTCATTTTTCTTACCTTTGCGGGGTGAAGAAGGAATGGGGAAGACCAACCGTCAGTGGGATGGGCATATTCCCTGAAATCCCTTCAGAGTGACACAGCAGGGAAATACTTAGGTCATTCAGGGTCACAGCTGTGGTTCTTGGGGGATAGTCCCCATGCTTGTGAGATTCTGGACCCTCAGGGCTAGCCATGCCCCTTCACAGGTTCCTGAAGACCTCCTGAACCCTGAGCTCCAGCTCCTCATTTCACAGCGGATAGAGGTTAAGGGGAAGGCGGGAGAGGCTGGCCTGAGGTCACTGCAGGTGGAGCCTGAAGCCAGGGCTGCGCCTCTGCAAGAAGCCCCCCTCCTCCGGTTGCACTGGGGGAGGGCCAGGGGAGGCCAGGTGAGGGCCACAGAAGCTGCATTCACTGCAGGTCCTGGGCCTGCACAGGGAATGGCCAGTCTTTAGACTTCCAAATGCTCCTGCCACAGCAGGTGTGGGTTACCAAAGGGGGTAACCCACCTTTGGTTCTGCGCCTTCTGCAGATTTGTAATCCCAGACCCCCAGGTCTGTAATCCCAGCTACCGGGAGGCTGAGGCAGGAGGATGGAGAGTTCAAGGCCAGTATGAGCAATTTAGCAAAACCCTGTCTCAAAATAAGAAACAGAAAGGGCAAGGTGTGTAGCTCAGTGGCACATCCACCACCTCCCTGCAAACACAAACAACCCCCCCCCAGACCCCAAGCCCCATGCCCCCACCCTGCTTGCGGCCATTGCCCTCAGCTTTCCCTTTCAGCAAATGAGCACACTAATGCTCAGCCCCCAGGGTGACCAGTGAGAAGCCATACAGGAAACATACAAATGTACTGCTTTGCCTCCAGCCTTAAAGAGTCGCACTGGCTTTAAACTGGGCTCAGCTGTTCATTTCCTGTGGTCTCTGGATAAATCACTCCATCTCTCTGCACCACAGTTTTCTTATCTGTGATATGGGCACGCTAAGCATTTGGTAGATGTTGGTTATTATTTTATAAGTCATTATCTTTTTTTTATAACCTCTCTTTTCAATAAGTCTTTCTCACAGTGTGCATTTAGGTCCCACTGATCATATGTTGGGTGGGTTGAGGCCTGAAACTTCGAGTTCCTTAGGCCTCTAAAATGGGAACAGCTACTGATCTCTTGAGAAGGAAACTCCCTTAGCTCTTTCTACTGAAGGGCAGG